TAAATACAAGAACCTGTGTGAGGAAGAGCGGGCAAAGGGGTCGGATGCTTTGCTAGCTAAGCTGCAAAGCCAACAACACATTTTCACAAAACATTCCACATCCAGAGATGCAGCTGTCAAGACGAGTTATGTCTTAAAAGTAAAGCGTTTTCGGACGGAGAGTTCATTAAGGAGTGTTTGAAAGTGCCGCTCTCCCGACGCACTGTTATGAGGAGAATTGAGGACATCGCGTGAAATTTGGAGCTTCAGCTGCAGAACAGAGCGGTCAACTTTGACTTTTTTTCCTTGGCTTTGGATGAGAGCTGCGATGTACATGACACTGCCCAGCTACTCATCTTCCTACGTGGGATAACTACAGACTTCAAAATCACGGAGGAGCTGGCAGCCATGCAGTCAATGAAAGGTACAACAACAGGGAGTGATTTGTTCACGGAGGTAAATGCATGTGTGGAAAAGTTGGGACTGAAATGGGACAAGCTGACAGGCGTGACAACGGATGGTTGTCCAAATCTGACAGGGAAAAATGTTGGACTATTGAAGAGAATGCAGGATAAAGTGACAGAAATTAACCCTGATTAGAAATTGGTATTTTTGCATTGTATTATACATCAGGAAGTGTTGTGTAAGTCAGTGTTAAAAATTAACCATGTTGTTGATGTTGTAACTAATATAGTTAACTTCATCAGGACAAGAGCATTGAATCACAGACAGTTTGTTGCACTTTTGGAGGAAAATGAGACTGAACATCGTGACATACCCTACCATGCAGCTGTCAGGTGGCTCAGCCTGGGCAAAGTGCTGAAAAGAGTATGGGACCTGAGAGAAGAGATTCAAGACTTCTGTGTGAAGAAAGGAAACGACATCCCACAGCTTTCAGATGCAGACTGGATGGCAGACCTTGGTTTTGCTGTAGATGTGACTGCACTAATGAGTGAACTAAATGTCAAACTGCAAGGCAAGGGCCTTTTTGTGCATGACATGTACAGTGCAGTGAAGGCTTTCATGAGAAAGCTGCAGCTTCTCTCAAGCCAAATGGAGGACAACATTCTCACGCACTTGCCAACACTGAAGGAAGCCACACCATCAGCTGATCACCTCCAGAGGTACTCATCCATGTTAGAAGCACTGCATGGTGAGTTTTCAAGGCGATTTAAAGACTTCAAAACAGTTGAGAATAAAATGAACATGATCTTTTCCCCATTTACATGCCATGTGGATGATGCACCCAGTGATGTTCAGCTTGAACTCATTGACCTGCAGTCTGACACACTTCTGTCAGAGCACTTTAGGTCAGTCTCACTGCCTGAGTTTTACGCTTCCCTGAAAGAGGAGAACTTTCCACACATCAGGAGACGTGTTCAGAAGATGATGGTCCTCTTTGGATCTACCTACATATGTGAACAGACATTCTCAGTGATGAAGTTCAACAAATCCAGATACAGATCCTCTATCACTGATGATCACCTCTCAGCTGTCCTTCGCATATCCACCTCAGACATTGAACCAGATTTCCGTGCACTTGTTCAAGCCCAAGACAGACTGGATTTTTCTCAATGAACAAGTAAAATGAACTAAAAAACAAAAATCAAAAGCACTCATTTCTTTTTGTATAAAGCTGATTCATTTCTTATCTTTAACATACTGTAAAACACCTTTTCAGTATTGGTATATTGAGCAGAATTAAGTTCAACTTATTTTTGATTCGGCCCCCCAACACAGCTCGAGTTTCTGAAGTGGCCCCTTGTAAAAAATAATTGCCCACCCCTGCGCTAGTGCCTCGCCCCCCTCGAGGTGACCCGCGAGGTCAGCTGCAGCTCATTTGCCACAGAATCAGCCCTTGCAAAAACAGGGCTGGAATACAGCAAATAGAGCGAAATGAGGCATGGCTAAAATGCATGATCTGTTTGGTATTTTGAAAAAAGAACTTCACAGACATGTTTTATATAGGTATGGCCCTACAATATATTATTCAAATATAGCATGATAGGTCCACTTTAATTGATTTATATTAGTATAAATATTTATAAACTTACAACTTCTGTATAATTGCCTCAAATATGACTTACTGCAGGCCAAATATTTCCATAATAAAACATTGCTTATGCAGAATCAGTGTTTCCGGCAGACCAGGGCTGAGAGGGCTTCCACGCCGAGATCGGGGGGGGGGGGGAATTTTGACTTGAGCCATCCCTTATAGATACTGTCTTTTTACGTTAGTGAGCCGGATCATTTGGCTCGGCTCTCTTAAAGCGCCAGCTGTTTCGGCTCCCAAACGGCTCTTCATGTTACCACAGTTTACCACGGAGCCTCAGTTTCGCCGCTGCGAGGCTCTGGTGCTCGCAGCTCACGCGCGTGCTCCACTAGCACCGCTCATCGCGTCCAAATCGTGCACGTTCCGTGTTGTCCTGTAGCAGGCACCGCCGATGTCGGGGAAACGATCCTCAATACTCCGAAAAGAATCCCACCCACACCTCCAACAGAGGGATGTCCTTGTCCTTTTTCCTTTTCGTCATTTCAAGCGATAAAAACTCTCGATCTTCTCTCGAATTATTAATATTTTTGGACGCCCTCGGCTCGCGTTCAGGGCGTCCCGAGCTGAATAACGGCCCCTACACACGGCGGCGTGCGTTGACGCTTCAACGCTTCTGCCCATTCACTTTGAATGGGGTGACGTCACGATTCGCCGAACTGCATTCTGGGAGCAAAGCGTAGCTTTTCTCGCGGTGCTCGCTGCAAAAGTAGAGCAATGTTCTACTTTTGAAGCTGAGGCGGAGGCGTCAGCCAATCAAATCCTGCATATGCAAATCTGCCAGTACAAGCGCTAGCCAATCAAACCGCGTGTATGCTGAGAGAGCCAGACCACAGTTCATTTCCTCATATGCCAAAAAATGTAGGAGAAAATTATCGTAGCGGTAGGGAATCACCCGGTGCTTTCAGTCCCTGTTCACCTACCGGGATACAAACCGGAGGAGCCAGGCATGGAGGGAGGTGGCAGAGACAATGGGTGAAACTGGTAGGTTTTCGCCTGTTTGGGGAGTTTATATCCAGTGTACTTCGTTTGAATGGACAGCAGGCATAGACAGTATATTTAGCCACCATGCAATGTTGCATAAAATAGCACCATAGACATTAATTAAAAATCGCTTTTTAGACATTAAAATCAATGGTGAGATTCATACACGGGAGCCTTTTTAAAGCCTTTTTACCCCGCTGCAAACAGAAACCCCCCCCTTCCCATCACAAACTTTACACAGACCCCCCCTTCCAATTATCAACTCCTGTCTTGTTTCCGCAAACTCTTGTGTCCTGCAGCAGCTAAAAGTTTTGCAAGCCCCCGTTCGTTTAGTACTTAAAATAATAGACATCGCTTTTTCCAGCTGACAAACCCGACTTTCTGGTCACTTCTTCAATTTTCCAGCCCTTGGGGAGAGACACGGGAGATTCATGTGATTGGTTGTTGGTCGCGTTGCTCGCGTAAACTCCCCAAGCTCAAGACACGCCCACCGCCGTGGGTAGGCTTCGTAAGGGCGTCAAATGACGGCAAGACACCCCCCTGGCGGAAACGTTGTGCAGAATTGTATTATATACCTGCTAAGATGCGATTCCTGAGGAATTGCTGCTGCAGGGGGCAGCTATATACACAGAATCAACAGACGCATTTGTACATATGCACACATTAAGACATAAATAAAAGCACAACAATCAATATATACAAAATAACAGTCACTTCAAAATCTTTGATTTTCCAAGTGTTCAAAGCGCTCTACGTTATACTACATATTAGACTTGTAATACATTCAATACTGTGTAAAGAGATTCTGAAAGTTTCAGGAAAAAATATTTGCTCACTTTTTGTCCTGATCCATTTATATAAAATAAACGAGTGCTTGTGTAACCATTAGCCAATAACCAACCAAAGTAACCCTACCACCTTATCACCTGAATCTCCTCCTAAAGCACTATTGTGTTCTTTTGAACCAAATATTTTGCAGAGGGGCTTCGGGAGTGGAAGCTTATTTTAATCTAAAGTAAAAGACACACGCTCCTCACACTGCTTGGGGACAGACAGATAGCCTGGTCGTTGGGTGGAGGCGTTGTTTTCTGCGCAGGTGGGCTGTTCTGTGCTTCAAAGCGTGCGAAGAAGCCGTTGAGTTTGTTCAGCAGAGATATCACTGTCACAGGTCTGTGGTGATAATGATTTGTTCTGCATTTGGGACTTGTACCGGTTCCCAAACCAAATCCCATCGGATTGAACCACTTCAAAACGAGTGGAGATGCCGGGGATTGAACCCGGGGCCTCATACATGCAAAGCATGCGCTCTACCACTGAGCTACATCCCCAGTTGCAACTTACATGAACGTTACAGTAAGAAATACGCATTTCGTCAAATATTAGACGTTAATATTAGACGAACAAATGTTAGCTTGTTATTGCTGGAGTAGGCTACCACTAGTGCAATACATAACATGAAAAAACTGCAAAATATTAAGAATGAGCTCGTCCCAGGATCTTAGTATTGTGCATGCTATCCTTGTTTTGACAATGTGGGGTAAAGATGGCTCTTGATTCTGTGGAGCCTTACTGGCACGATCGTTTCAAGAACAATGTTCCCAGTGCATTAACATTGAATTGGTCTAAATATTTGAACCCTACACAATAAAGGATTATTATCAGTGACACATTAATATTTATATACACTATATACTTGAACCTATGCACGTAAGGAGCAATATATGCCTAATACCTACACAAACCAAGTTTCGATTTAAAAGCTCTGTGCCCCTGAACGGGTCTCACTTGTGGCTGTTTCTTATTGGTGCAGAAGTTTATTAAGACACGTCAGGTCTGCCACGGAATGCAGCCAGGAGATTGACAGCCCTGTGACCAATCATAGGACGAATTCAAAACCTTGGCATGACGTCACGAGAGAACACCCAATCACAGCTCAGGATTTGGGAGGCGCCGGTCTGTTGACAGGAAGTGTACAGACATGGGCGGAATCACCACAACCCATCGGTGCTGCTTGTAGCTATAGCCTGACTAACAGAAGATGTCATATTCGTCTTACCTCTGACTTGTGTGGACTTAAATTATGCGTTTTAAGATCGACCCGGGGCAAATATGCAATGGAGGTCAATAGTTGTTGGTTTGGTCGTATTGAGACTTTCCTTCAGCTGTGTTATTTGGCTAGCCTTTGGACTCGGTCCTAACGTTAGCTGGGGATTCAACTTCCCACTCAGCTTCAGTCTACACAAATTAGACTTGTTATTCGGGGATGAAAAAGGGACCGACCCGAGGCGTAACTCGTGGTCTCAACGAGTACATGTCCACAGACATGAAGAGGTGGCGACCACCTGTGCAAAGGTTGGAGAGGGGTCTCCCGAGAGATCCTACCTGAGCTTCTTCGACAGCAACAGGGACGAGTACTCCCGCAGATACAGCTCCTTCCCGGACACTCTGAAAGCAAAAATGAAGGACATGGCCAAAGAAATGTTTTATTTCGGGTATGACAACTACATGAAATACGCTTTTCCCGAGGACGAGCTGAATCCCATTGACTGTGAAGGAAGGGGACCAGACGTGCTAAACCCGTGAGTCATTTAAAGATGTCCTCTGTTTGCACCGGCTGGTTCATTTTGTTCTTTAATTTAATAAAGTATTTGGTATTTGGTTACACCCTGAACTGACTAGCAGTACAGCCTGCAGGACACTCATTTACATCCTAACTGTCCACTGCAGAGTGTACTATTTGCATGCACTTTGTTATCATATTAGCATGTTGTAAAATCCTGCTGTCCACTGCTGCCCAGTCATGAACAGGTTATGTTTCAGACACTTTTATATGGGACAGTCCAGTATGTCCCAAACTGGGATCCAGCAATCACTAAAGGGATCTTAATGGGGTCTAGGGGGTTTCTGTTGATCATCTTTATCACTTTATATATTTAAGTTGTAAGGCTTAATGGAAATATGAAATCTAATGAATGTGGAGAAGGAAAAAATGACCAAACATAAGGGCTACAATAAACTGTTATTTTGTATTATCGTCTGAATATGTAATCATTTCATTGTTTGCTCTATCAAAGTTTAGTAAAACCAGAAGTAAAACTAACCGTTATCTGGTTATTTCCTCAAAAGTCATAGAAAACCAGCAAATATAAAATGTGTCAAGCTGTAACCAGGAAATATGCTGGTAAAAAATGACTTGAAAGATAAAATAAAGATGTATTGTTTATTAACTACTTGGGACTTTCAAACATCAAACTCAACCTAAGACAAAACGGATAAATAAATTCAGAAAGCATTGAAAGTATTTCTAAAGCCCAATACCCAGTTTTTTTCTTCGCTCAGTGGAGTTAAAAGATGCACATTGTATGATTTTTTTTTTTTCAAATTGAAACAGAAAGACAAGAATTCCAATATCTTCCAAAAGTTTAATTCCCCCTCTTTTATCTGAGCCTTTCGGATTCAACTGTTGTCCCGTTTCTATACAATGTGATACTAATCCAGTTAGGATTAAAGCGTGTGTAATAGAAAAAAAGACAATATATGTTAAATTACCTCATGTTTTAACAGATGCTAATTTGACATGTAAAATGCAGGTCTGTATTTGTTTCTACAAATTAGAGAACAACATGCAGGTTTTAACCAAACTCTTCTTTATAGGATGGTTTATGAGGACGCAATGTGTGCATCTATTGGGATGTGATTGACAAAAAATAAGTTTCCATCACAGACGTAAAAACACACCTTTCCTCGTTGAATTTAAGATTTACTCTCTGTTTTTATCGTCTGTTAATTATTTGGTTCTCTTTTGCAATGACACCACTATGTCTGTTTCACTTCTTTAATTTCAGCTCTAACATCAACATAAATGACGTCTTAGGGAATTACTCCCTTACTCTGATTGACACCTTGGACACCCTGCTGGTAAGGTTTACTGTCTTAATGTATTACAGTAGTACACTGCAATATCAGCAGAGTGTTTCTTTCTCATTGCTTTCTCACCGACAAGACTCGAAAACAGAAATAGAATCAGTGCAGGATGATAAAAAATATTTGGCCCAGTAATTAGTACTGGCAAATGATAATATAATCCTTTTAATTAGGTGATAATAAAGTAGCTTAAAGGAATTTATATAGTACAACATGTTTTCCCCCGTGGTTATAACAACACCTGTTTTTCATAAAGCTGTGTTTTGGACTACATTTGGTGGCACAGTGGTTAGCTCTTCCTGTGTGTAAGTGATGTGTTTTCTGCCACAATTGTGTGTCACTGTCAGCCCTAAAACTGACAGTACATGGGGACTTCTAAAGTACAACCATCTTTTCTCTGTTCATTCACAGTTAAATAAACTAACTATTTTTATGGAGTTCTAACTTGATGGCTAACATTAATAATTGGAGCTTTTTTACAATAGTTGCCATCCACAATGATACAAATAGAATGTCTGAAAGTCATTCAGTAGGTATGTGTTTAAACAGTTCTGTTCATACAGTATACTGTGGTTACATAATGTTGTGTTTCTCTACAGGTGCTCGGAAATGTGACCGAGTTCCAGAAAGCTGTCAAGCTGGTTATAGATACTGTATCTTTTGACAAGGACTCAACCGTGCAAGTTTTTGAGGCAAACATCAGGTACAAATGTTTCTATTTTAAGACTCGTACAGATTCTGCCTAGCATGCTGTAGGTCAGGTCTGATTCTTAATTCAACACACAAGAGCATTATTTGCTTTTTAGGTGTTAGATTTCAGTATAAAACCTTCTTAAGCTATTTTATTATTAAAAAAGGCAAGGTTAAAATACACAAATATTGTAAGACTAAAAACCCAGAGCTACACTAAACTGAAATTACCATTTCAGATTGATTAGATTTTTTTCATGTATTGTGTCTTGATATTTGTCCATGTTGATGTTACAAATGGAGCTGCTGTGATGCAAGTCAAATTTCAGACTTGATCATTAAAGTATTATCGTATCATAGATTGATTTTCTTTATGTATTCAATAAGGTTACACTAAAATTAAAATGTCTTCAATGTTTAAACTTTAGAAACAGACCCATCAATACGTCACCTTTAATTGTAAAAGCATGATATAAGAAAATAAATTGTAATCTTCTTTTTCATAATCTCTTTCTGTGTTGAATCCCAATTTTATATTTGTCTTTTCCCTTGAAGGATCCTGGGAAGCCTTATCTCGTCTCACATCTTGCTGACTGACCCCAAACATCCGTTTGGAAAGGTCGACTATGAGGGTTACGATAATGAGCTTCTTCACTTGGCTCATGACCTGGCTGTCCGCCTGCTGCCGGCCTTTGAGAACACCCTCACAGGCATCCCTTACCCCAGGGTGAGTGAGACCGGAAAATTAAAATGACTCTTTAAATGTTACCTGATGGTGTGACAGGGCTGCACCATTTGTAAAACAAACTAGTTTTTATTGTTTTGATAGATATTCCAATTGTGATAGGATTTGTGATGTAAGAAAGACAATTATTGGTAAATTATTCACATCATCAATAAAGAATATGTTCAAATATAATTTTAGAGGATATGAACTGAGCAAGGATCTTTCATTAAGCCATTAGAATACTGTTTGTAGGCCCTGAGTTCTCTGCAGCACCACAATACACATAATAAATGATATTTTTACATATATGCCTGCCAAATACTGTACTTACTGCGATTGGATATTGCACGTCTATACTGCTATTCCAATAACATTTCCAATAATTGTGCAACCCCAAAGTATACACAGAAAAGTTACATGAACAGTCATGATCGAGCTACCTATCATGTGTAGGTATCATGTGAGTGAAGTAGCATGACCCCCCCACAAACATGACCCCCCCACAAACCACACTGAAAGAATGAATGAGCAGCATGAGGTCTAAAACCACCAGACTCAGGGACAGTTTCATCCAACAGGCCATAAGAATGTTAAACACTTGGACTTTTGAAAGAACATCCATAACATTCATCTGTTTGCAACTCATATATATAATATATCAATTGTCCAATTGCTGTAGACTATTCTGCACAGTTTCTATTATATTCTGTTTCTATTATATTCTATTTTATTTTTATTTACTTGCACTATTATCTGTTTTATTGTGTTGCACTGTTGGAGGAGCCTGTGACCTAAGATTTTCATTGTCATAACTACACTAGCTATGCACACATGACAATAAAAGCCTTGAAACTTGAAATGTCACTCATCATCTTGATTCATTTGTGTCTCCATTCAAATGCAGGTGAACCTGAAGACTGGCGTTCCTCCTGATAGCATCAATGAGACCTGCACTGCAGGAGCCGGCTCCCTGCTGGTGGAGTTTGGGATTTTAAGTCGCTTGATTGGAGACTCCACATTTGAGTGGGTGGCCAGGCGAGCCGTCAGAGCGCTGTGGAGCCTGAGGAGCAACGAGACCGGTCTGCTAGGTAAGCACTGGCAAGAAAAAACGTTTTCTCCTTTATTTCTAAAGTTTCTATCCAGCATGGTTGGGTCTACTACATTTAAACATGATGTCTATGATAATATATCATTGTTCTTCTCCAGGGAATGTAGTAAATATCCAAACAGGTCAGTGGGTTGGCAAGCAGAGTGGTCTGGGAGCTGGTATGGACTCCTTCTATGAGTATCTGCTCAAATCATACATCCTTTTTGGTGAAAAAGAGGACCATAGGATGTTCCAAGATTCTTACGAGAGCATTCAGAACCACATGAGGAGAGGGTGAGTCTCACACTGAATGTGACACGTGTGCATTTGAGTGTTGGTGGCTTTAGGGAGCTTCACAAGAAGTTGGTTTTGAAACCAGTAACTATATCAGCTATTTACATTAATCTCTATCCATGAGTGGCAAAACAAAGAGAAAATAAAACTGCTCATAGTTTCCAGTGTTGCTTGTCTTTCTGGAGGATGTGGAAAGCTGAATTAGGAATCCTAACACTTACTTCAACATCAGCCACCACTGAGTTGCCATTGAGCAATGAACATAACCTAAACCAATCTAGTTTAGCTGGTCAGTGGCAGAATGAAGCTTTTGCAGTGTGGGCCATTCAAATCTACAGTAAAAACATATGATTAGGATATTGATGATAAAAGCAATCATACACAACTTAGATGTACATTATGATTTAGAAATACGATCCTGATGAATTTCCATTATCTGTATAATTCTGAGCATCCTCACACGAGTTGTTATCATAGAGAAGTGAAAATTAGAGCCTGACTAAAAAAAATACAGGAATTATCATGTACAGTAAGAAAGAACAGACTTACACTTTGATGCTATAAAAATATATGCTTTATGATTATCTTATTTATGATTGTCCTTTGCCTTGTTTTTCACATGTTAATTCAAAAAAGTGTGTCCTATCTGTGATTGAATAAATCATGTTTTCTTAACAAAATGTAAAGCAAAGTTATTCAAGTATGTTTTAATACATATTTTAGTAGTTCAAATAGCACATTTTGATACATTGGATCAGAATAATATAGTGAAATGCAATTTCTTTGTCAAGGATAAATGTGGTATCATTTTTATGTAGTTTCATGCTTAATAGGACAAATTGTGAACCCCTTTTCTGGCTCTGTGTTTCTCCAGGAGAGAGTCATGTAATGAAGGAGAGGGCGACCCGCCTCTTTATGTCAACGTCAACATGTTCAGTGGTGAGATAATGAACACCTGGATCGACTCCCTTCAGGCCTTCTTTCCTGGGCTGCAGGTGAGATTACAGCTTTGCCAGGTCTTATATATAAGTCTAAAATATGTGTTGTTGCAACAACTAAAGTTAGGTGTTGTTGTGGGTGTTGTAGGTGCTGAATGGGGATGTTGATAATGCAATCTGCCTGCACGCCTTCTACTATGCCATCTGGAAACGCTTTGGGGCTCTGCCGGAGAGATACAACTGGCAGCTGCAGGCGCCCGATGTGCTCTTCTATCCTCTGAGACCGGAGCTGGTGGAGTCAACATATCTGCTGTACCAGGTAACATTTACTTGCCTGTTGTAACGCAGCATTGGCGGTGGTTTGTTATACTTCACTCAAAAGTTATTCTTCTTCTCTTCCCGACAGGCGACCAAAAATCCTTTTTATTTGCATGTTGGAATGGATATTCTTCAGAGCCTTGAGAAAAATGCCAAAGTCAAGTGTGTAACAAAAAGATATTCTCTATACAATATTAACAATATAGACACATGCATATATATTATTTTATTTGTTTGAGCTTTACAATGCTTTGATACTTTTAGCTGATTTGCAGATGTGGGTATGCCACTCTCCACCATGTTGTGGACAAATCCAAAGAGGATCGCATGGAGAGCTTCTTCCTCAGTGAGACGTGCAAATACCTTTACCTGGTGAGTTACAGCTGAATGTTGTTTTGATAAGAAGCTATTGAGATAAAGACTTGAGTGCAAGTGAGTGGTACTATTTCTTAACTGCAACCACATTTCCTAATATTCTTACATTTTAAATTATTGCTGCAATTGATGTAAATTCTTTCACAATTTCCAATATTAGCATCCTCAAAGCTAGTGGTATTTTCATCTAAATACTTGACAAGCTGAAAACAGAAAAATACCAATTGATATCATTGTTGTTCTACGAATGAGTTGGAAGCATCACAATTCACAGCTGCTTGTGGCTCAGAAATAGTAGACAAATAAGCAGGTCCTGCAGGAATCTGGCACGCTGATGCTCTGTTCAGACGTATGGTGTTAGTTTGGATTAGCTCAAGACATAAAAATGGATAGGAATTGATCTGGTAGCCTACAAACAATCTATATGTTGTTTGTAATACCTAGAGAGCATTAGAGAAATGATTTGTTTAAAAAATGCGTTACTAAGAACACCATAGCATTCCCTCTACATGTTTTCACACTATGAATGTCAGTCCCCCGTCGCCCTCTTTTGGTCCTATAGACAACAATCTCTGTCTTTCGTTGCAGCTGTTTGATGAGGACAACCCACTTCACAAATCCGATAACAAGTACATCTTCACCACAGAGGGTCACATTGTGCCTATAGATAAGCGCTTCAGGGAGAAACAGTGGGATGATGAGTTTCCTTGTGAAGAGGCAGTGCTGGCCGAGCAAAAGCCAAACAACCGGAAACCACCACCGAGCAACAACAGCAATGTAAGGAATCATCTTCACCCAACCCACTATTCACTATTTTCAGTGTCATTCTTGACTTAAAATGTATTAAGATTTCTTTCTTAGAAAAGAGTATTAGAGCCAGGCATAATTGCATGAGAATAAAGTGAAAATGTTGAGAATAAAATCGAAGTAAGAGAGTAAATTCATACATTAAATATTATTGCAAGGGAATACAAATATTAATTTAAAGTATTGTCGTAATTAGAATCAGAATTAGGTCTCCCTTATGTGTCCCAGAGTGCAGAAATGTGCAGAAATGTACAGTGTTACAATAGCAAAGTGACAGTGCAGATACAAATAAAATGAGAAAGCTAATAAAGAAAAATATAATACTAGCATTAGATCATAAACTGAGAGTTCAACTTAATTCTCGGCAATTGAACTTTAAATGGATTCTATAAATAGAGGGGGGAAAAAAAAAAGATCCTCCTTTTTCTGTAGCACGGCCATCATATACCTACCTTCTTCTTTTTCACTCTCTCAGTGCAACAGGATCCCAGAGGAGCGACGGTACACTCTGCCGTTAAAGAGTGTGTACATGAGGCAGATTGATCACATGGTGGGACTTTTCTGAGTGAGAAGATGCATTCAGTGACTTTTACATAAACAGGCCTTCAGTTCCCCCCCCCCATCAGGCGCAGGTGAGGTTAAAGAGGATCCACTGTTGGTCCAAATCCTCGTCCCATTTGTTCCACTGCTCAGGATCCAGACAGGAAACTGACACTAAGGGAAACCTGAGAAAGCAGATTGATCACTTGCTGTATTTCTTTAAAGTGTGTGTGAGTGTTTCCACTCTTTGGTGAAGGAGCATGTGGTCGACAACTGTGAACAACTTTTGTGCTGGAAGATGAGAAGTCATGCTTAGTCACTTATTGCCTGGTGACAAACCTCAAAAGTGGATTTTAGAATTACTGGTGTGTTTTTTTCGTCTTTTTAGGGATTGGTTCAGGTATGAGTGTGTAAATGTGTGTGTGTGATTGTATGCATATTTGAAATAACAGCTGAGCTGTGAGTCATAATGTGTTTTGGGTAAAAGTGCCATCTAGCCACACGTATGTAAAATATTAAGCCTATAAAAACACTCACCTCCTAGAATATCTCTCTCAACATGATGAGTAGTGCCTCCTTGCCGAATATTCTCTAGACTAGATGCGTGCTTTTAAATAAGGGCTGCTCGTTCACAGTTAATGACGGAGAGAGAGGCTCAGGATGAATCTCGCAGTTTTTAAAGTGCCTTCAGTTTTTCCATGGTCTTCCTGAATGCAGCAAATGTTTTGGTGGATACCATTGTCAAGTATTCTTTGAGGCCATTGTTGATATTGCACAATAGATGTCATTCCATGTGTACAGTATGTACAGTTTTACACAAATTATCATGACATTTAGCTATTTCTTTCTTTTTTTTGAAATACACAAACAAGCCATACGGTGTCTTTTTTTTAATGTCAGCCATCTTTAGTTCACAGACTCTCCTGCAGAGATTATTGTAGATGGGATTAGTTTTTTTTCTTTCTGTTTCATAATTGCACATCATAATGCCTATTAATTATCATGTGGTAAGAACTCAGGGTTTTTAACGGAAAAACTTAAATCAAGGATTGCTTTCTTAGAAAAAAAAAACTTTCTTAAATTGTTGTTGCCTAATGTCTTAGGATAGTCTTTGGTATTTAATTTATATTGCAAATCTTCCAACTTGGTTTTCTGAGGTCAACGAATGAACACAACAAACTGAAGTACAGTTGTACTGTGAATATTCATTATTGTTCCACACAAAGAAAAGTGTGTAACGTTTGATTCCTGAACAGCTCTACTCATGTATCCCTCCTGGACATGTTGTGCCAAACATGCAGAGTGTCTGCTCAGCAGAGCTGCAGGCGGCATGGCTCGATAACATCATAGCATCTTTCTTCTGGCTTTGGGAGACAGCTGTTTATATTCTCAAGTGTTTGCTAAAGGAGTGAATTATTTTTAATTAGCTGACATCACCCCTTTGTTTCAGTATAGCTTAAAAAAGATTGTAACATTTTGAGAGTTCACTTTCTTGCTGAGTGTTAGAGGAAAGTATCGATACTAACTGATACCATTGTTGTTCTACAAATGAGTTGGAAGCATCAAAATTCACATCTGTTTGTGGCTCAGAAATAGCAGATACATAAGCAGGTCCTGCAGGAATCTGGCATGCTGATGCTCTGTTCAGACGTATGGTGTTAGTTTGGATTAGCTCAAGACATACAAATTGATAGAAATTAATCTGGTAGCCTACAAACAATCTAGATATTGTATGTAGTAACTAGAGAGCATTAGAGATGATACTTTTTTTGATAAGTGGACAGAGCCAGGCTAGCTTCTTCCCTCTGTTTTCAGTCTTTGTGCTAAGCTACAGCAGTAACCAGCTGTCGGCTGTATTGTGAAATTTGCCAAACATATTATTGAAGTTCTCAGCAAACTTTCTCAACAAAAGCAAACTAATGTTTTATCCAAAATGTCAAACTATAATATTATTAAAAGGTAGAAGCTCTTCCATTCAGAATAATAGTGGTTTAATAATTGTTGAAAATGAAACTGAAACATTCTGTGAAACTAATAAAATACCGATTATGAACAAGACATTTCTGTGTTGGTTTTTATTTGTGAAAAATGGAAAACAACTCAGTTTTCTACAGAAGCTTTAATAGGTTTAATGGTGAAGCTTTTAGAGTTTACAAACATTGGTCTTTTAGACAGTAATTGTAAGGTTGAAGTGTATGACAGCTAGGCTTCCATTCAGCAGTGTTACAAATCCACATGGTTTCAACACACTTCATGAATTTCCCATTAGAAAACAGTTTAATTATGTACACTAGCCCTTTCCAACTATTTCAATATCATATGATCTAACTCTTAACTTAAAAAATAAAAATGTTAACCTGTTTGAACTGTGTTTCAGATTGTGCTGCAGAGTTCCTGTGCATAAAAGCCACTAGTTTTGGAAAAATCTGCATCTGCAGGGGCTTTCTGTCTGTTTTCTGACCAGGTATTGCAACACAGGTGCATTGGACCGACAGCTTTTTTTACATCCTTCATTTTATGCAGAACTATACGCTTTTGATTTCTTAGCAAAATATTGATTAGACTATCTCAAGAGATTCAGGAGAAAAGTCAAAATACAGAAAGAAAAATGTAACTCATCTGAAATCTGCACATGATTTTCTGACTGAAGAGCTGTCTTCTCGTCTCAGTCGTTGGTCAAAGCTACAACTTAGTTTTGAACACAGTGAATTGATTTGTTTGTGTGTTTGATGGATATAGAGAACAGTTTTCATTTTCAGGCTTCAGTTTGAATGCAGAGGGGATTTGTGGAATGTGATGGGGCTGCATCACCCTGTAAAAAAGAAAGAAAGTGACACTGCTTATAAGCTGGTCCAAAAGAGACTCTGGAACACTTTCACAATACAGTGCAAACGTACCTCACCTTCATTGTGTTTCTCAGCCTGACTTTTAGAAGAGACCACAATCTTTCAGGTTTTCTTTGATGATGATGTCAGTCACGGCGTCAAACACAAACTTGACGTTCTCTGTGTCTGTGGCACAGGTCATGTGAGAGTAGATTTCTTTTATGTCTTTCCGCAGGTTCAGGTCCAAAAACTGCATTTTGATGTATAAACCAGCATCCTCATAAGTATTGGGGCCTTGGTGAAAAATACATAAAGATAAACGAGCACTTTTAATCAGTTTGTCACGTTTCAATATGCTGCAAATTCTGTGTTTGATCCAACTCACCATCGTATTCAGGGAAGCACATGCTGAGATGAGCTTTCTTGATCTTCTCAACGAACACGTCTTTCTTGTTGAGGAAGAGTACAATGGAGGTTGCGAGAAAATAGCGGTGGTTGCAGATACTGTTGAACAAATGCAGACTCTCGTGCATTCGATTCTGAAAATGTTTTATACAAAGACAGAAGAAAGACCCATTGAAACTAGCCAGCTGTTGATTTTCCCCAAAAAGAAACAAATAGTGTCCTATAGAATATCAAGTGTGAGATATTACTGTTATCATACCACTTCATCATCCTCCACCAGGACCATATCAAAGGCGCTTAAAGCACCAATGAAGATGATACAGGTCACACCCTCAAAACAGTGGATCCATTTCTTCCTCTCTGACCTCTGGCCCCCCACATCAAACATTCTGCATGGAAACAGAAACACATTATCTTTATGATTGCAATCCAGCACACTTTTACCACTGCCAATGAATTATTGTAGCCATCCTTATGCGAAATACTGCACTGCTTCACCTGAAATGCAGATCTTTGAAGGAAAACGTGGTCTCAATGATACCAGTGGTCTTCACTCTTGATCGCAGCACATCCTGCTCAGTGGGCACGTAGCCTGGTTGGACCAGGCGCTCCAAGTCATTCAGGTAGCTGAGGGAAAACAACATTGATAGCAAACTCCAATGTGGTGGTCGAGCAATATTAATTATTCAATGGTCGATAAGGATATTTAGAGAGCAGGGCGGCTGATGACCAACATAAAGCCTTATGTTAAAGTTATGTTGTCAGATTTTTTGCTTTTTTATTTTATCTGAATAATACAACAATCTCAGTTTGGTGATTTCTTACTATCCAGCGGAGTCGTTGAGCTGATACTCTGAGGCTCGTTCGAAGCACACTTGTATGCCAGAGTCGTTCCATAGGCGAATAATAATGTCCGCTAACTCTTTGGGCATGGAGCCTTCCTCAATGGTGTCTGCAAGATGCATGAGTTTCCTGGCATCATCCTGCAGGACGGATGCAAGGGGACAGGGACAAACACAGAGTATGTTAAGCAGTCTGCTGCAAACATAAACCCAATTTATGCAAACGTCTATTTTAGCTGTTACCTGCTGATCAGAGTGGCCAAAGCTAATATTGAATGTGCCCATGGCCTTCACAATGGCCATCATAGACTGCAGGGTGTTGCTGTAGATGATGACAATGAACTCCAAGCATTCTTCAAGTGAGTAGCCGTCTTTGTGGATAATTCTGAAGAGAAAATACAGAGTGATTTACAGTCTCATAGAGAAAAAAACGAGACATTGCTTTAGTGCAAAAGTCAAAAATGTTACTTCATCTGTTTGACGATAGTGCTTTTGCCTGATTCTCCAGCGCCTAGATGAAAGTAGAAAAGACATAACATTTAGTTATTCCGATGAAATAAAAAAGAAATGCATTTATTGGAAACTTGATTCAAACATTTATGAGGATTTGGTAGAAATATGACTTCTTAATCATGATTGTGGGTTGCATTCATGTAAGAGGAGGCACTACATGCCAGACTTTAGCACTATAGTCTTGACATTGATAAATGTATTGGTCCTTAAATAAAAATGTCCTGTTCGATTATATGATGTATGAGGGTCATTGTACTCAGTTGGGCGGTATTGTATCTGTGTCCTTCAGAGTTAATCTCTTTGTGTTGGAGACCTGTTGTTTCAGGATTAACAGGGGATTGGATTGAATGATTAATAAAGTGTCTAAGCAATCCAATGACACAGGTTAATAAGCCTTTACTTTACTCAAACATGCTGCTTGTTTTCACCACAGTCACCATGCACTTTAGTAAGTATGTAAAGGTAATCCAGATTAAAAGGATCTATTCATAACACACTTCAGTCAACAAGATCTTCCTGTGTTGATAACTTGACCGTATGAGAGATAAAACCAAACATTTTACAACGGACAAAGTAATGCACCACCTACAATGAAATCCCATACATAGATATGTTTACTATTTCTCTAGGTATAAATAGCCTCACCATGGGGCCTTTATTGGGCCCGTACATGTGTTTAACCCTAATGATTAGGGTTCCTGTTATTGAATCCATCTCGATCATCTTTACCTAGCAGTAGCAGCTTGACAGTTCTCGCATCAATGTCGGCATCCTCCTTCAGCTTCTTCTCCAGCTCCCTGGAGTGTTTATCCTCGGCGCTCGCTCCAGCCCCCATCCTGCCTTTTCCCTGCTTGGGCCCCTCTGCTCAAAGCCAAGTGTCAGGAAAAATGGAAGTTGGTCCAAGATGATTGCCTACTATCTCAACAGTTTTGTCAACTGCCGTCAGCACTGGAGAACACTGGAGACTGTTTGAGTGTTCTCGTCTTAGGAGAGGATTTCGGGCATCCTCTGCCCACCTGACCCCCAATGGCCAATGGAGCACAAGGACAGGAGTCTTTTAGGGAATCCAAAGGTGTGAGGAGAAGCAGACATACATCAGTGTAGGAGTGATCTAACCTTTAGGGCGACATTGCTGTGTCAGCGGAAGATGAACATCGGCTCAAGTGCTTATCTCTCTATGCAGTTCTTAGGCGCCTTTAAAAGAGAAGCATGTAAAGTAAAAATAATTTGGTGTTGAGTGTGCTTAGCTATGAAAACTCAGCTTTCCAAACTAATTAATCACATCACGACCAAAATAAGAATGTGTGACTTAGTGTGGTCCTGAGTGTATAGTGTTTTCAAAGCGGTTGAATAGAGGAATTACAACAAAACTAACTGCCGTATGCTACACACACTATAACACACAGCAAGTTTGGGCCCCTGAAAAAAAAGAAAAATACCTCTCACCTCTCAGTTGAAACAAAAAGAAAGACAACATGACATTTATTTTAGGGTACTACAGACTGCTGGGTTAGCCCTGCATAGCTTACAGAGCTTTGCAGTTTCATCTGACAGATTTCATTGACCTAAATCTGAAGCTGGTTAAGGATACTAATCTACTCACTTTCAATTATGTATGCATGCATGTGCAGTATGTGAGCTTTCACAGTGTATTCCAACTTTCCTATTTGTTAAAAAATACATTTTGTTTAAGAAGTTCATTAAGTTGATCATTATATATTTAACTTTTCTTGTTGACTCTTTTGTGGAGTCAACATTGCTCAAGATCCTGAGTCACTTCTGTGAATGAAAACACTGCTGCAGCTCAGCCGTGAAGCAACGCAACTACATTAAGTCAAATACTGCAAGCATTTCAAGTACTTGTTCTTCTTTCGAATATTTACTTTTCATGTAACTTTATCATACTATGCTCCATTCCAAAGGTTACTACTGTACGTGTTGTTCCAGTTTTACTCCATTAATTTAAAGGGGACCTATCATGCAAAATGCACTTTTGTACGTCTTTTATACATGAATATGTGTCCCCGGTGTTCCAGGGAACTCACCAAGTGTCAGAAAACACAACCCTCTCTATTTTCCTCCATACCCAAATCTCTAAAAAAATGGGCTGCAACGGATCTGATAAAAACTGATCCAGATTTGAACACTGTCCTGACGTCAGGACGGTGGCGCTACGGCTATTGGGCCAACTCCACCAATCAGGAGGAGACAGCCACGGCCATTGCCGTTCGAAAGCGCTGGAGACGCTGTAGTACATATGCCAGGCCTGTAGATGGTGCTGTTCTCACAGAATCTGCCCTTGCAAAAACAGAGCTAAAAAATGTCAAATTGAGCAAAATGAGGCATGGCTAAAATGCATGATCTGTTTGGTATTTTGAAAAAAACAAAAGTATAAATATGCCTTATATAGGTATGGTCCTACACTATATTATTCAAATATAGCATGATAGGTCCACTTTAAATGAACAAATAC